ACGAGAGGGAGGGAGTGAGGTGGGTGCCCGCCCCCCCTTTCACACACACGCGCACACGCACAATCCCTTTCCTGCTGCTTGTCGCGTCATGATGTCATCATCCCGTGCTGCCCGTCTGCTGCAGCGGTGGCAGGTGACCAGTCGGCCGGCGGTTGGCGGGTGGGCGGGCGACCGACGCAAACCACGACCTTTTTACGGACAAGGCGCCCCCCCCCCATACCCCCTCATTGGCGGGAGACGTGGTGGTGACCTCCACACTCATCCCCCACACAACCCATACATCGAAAACCTTTCTCTCTCTCTTCTCTGCACCATGCCGCGTGTGACAGGGACGGTGCTCAAGGTGATGTACGCGGGTGGTCCGATGTACCCGGCGTGTACGGCGTGCCGACGGAAGACGGTGGTGACGACGACGGGAGGGTCTGGAGGCACTCCACGGGCAGACTGCCGCCGCTGTAGAAGGCGCGGGTGTCCTGTGTGGTATCGCTACCGCCTGGCCTTTGCCGTCACCGACGGAGCCTCACCCCAGCCGAGGACGCTGGTGGTCTTTGGCGACTCGCTCAACGCCTGCTTTGGCGCCTCGGCAGAGACCTTTGCCCGCGCTGCCGCAGGCTACGCCCCGGACCTTGTCCGCACCGCCGTCGAGACCTTCTTTGTGGGCAAGCTCTTCCAGTTTGTGATTCCCGCCCCACGGACGGGAGCCTCCGCTGCTCAGACAGGCGCCACGAGGACCACTGCTGGTGGAAGCGGCAAAGTCATCGCCCTGCCCGGCGGCCGCTTTGCCGCCGTCGCCCGTGCTGCGGCGCGGGTTCCCGACGGTATGGCCACCTTTGATAGCCTCGGACTGTCCACAACCGAGGACACGGTTGTCCGGATGGGCCCGCCTCTCACCGGTGCGTACTCGATGGCGATTGTGGCGCTCCTACAGGCCTGTGCCGATGCTCTGCAGGCGTCGCCGCCGAGCGTGGCGCGCATCACCTCGCCGCGCAAGCCGACGTCACCGTATGCCGCCGCATACTCGCCACAGCTCTCCAACACACTGCAGGCCTCTGTTTCGCGACTCTCAGCCTCACTGGGCATGTCGATGACCCAGAGCGGGGCGTTATGCTTGCCGACGACGCCGACTGCAACCGCAGCGCTGAGCGCAAGTGGCATGTCGCTCGCCACGCCACTCGCCCTCACCCCGTTCACCGCGGCGCTGATCAAGGCCGCGGACGCGGCGGGCCCCAGCAGTCCATCAAGCGACTCGCCGTCGCACCGTCCACGACGAGCGCCGTCGCGAGCACCGGCAATGCCAACGCCAACGCCCAATCTGCTGAGGACGTTCGCTCAGTTTGAGACGCCGCGCGAAGAGACGCCACTGCCGGGCCTGTTGGGCAAGGTACGCAAGAAGCAGCGGCTCAGCAGCTCACCGTCGGCGCCGCACTCTGCGCGTGCCGCGTACACACTCGCGTCGCCGTTTGTTCCACGGACAGCCTCATTTACGATTGCGGCTTCACCGTCGGTCTTTGTTCCCGAGTCGCCGCCTACGACGAGGCCGGCCAAAAAGCTGCTGCGGCCGCAGGTTCCCGTTCCCGAGTCGCCGACCGAGTTCTCGCCGACAAAAGGGTGGATGATCTCGTCGTTTGACTCGCCGACGTCGCACAACCGGAGGCAGGGAGCCCGCCGGCCATCGGCCATTCGCGGCGTCCTGGCCCCGCTGATCCTCAACCAAGAGTAAAGGCGAGGCTTTGGATGCGGCTGGCGACTGCGGTCGCCATCGCGTCAACAAAGCTAGCGCGACCGGCGGCAAAGAGCGCAGTGGCGGTGGCGCCCGGAAAGAGCTCCGAGTCGAGCCCAGCGCCGGTGCGGACCGATGCCGGGAGGATGTCCGCGTCAGTAAGGTCCGGCGCGTTGCGCACAGAGTCGACGGCGGCGGCGACGCCCTGGGCGGCATCGGCAGCGTCGTCGCGCAGAGCCGCAAGTGCAGCCTTGATGTCGGCCCAGCCTGCCTGCGCCGACTCGGAGAGCCTGCCGACCTTGCGCGGCATCTTGGTCGCCCACAGCGAGCCGAGCACTCCCACCACACCCAACGTGTAGTGCACAAAGTCGTAGACGGCAGGTCCAGCCGTCAGCGGCCAGAGCGGCGAGTCCTCCACCTGCGGCGCAAGCTTGAGCGCCCACTCGGACTGCGCAACAGCGGCACGGAGGCTGTCAATCGCCGCCACGGCGTCGCCGGCAAGCTCAGCGGTGAGCTCGTCGGCGCGAACGGCGGTGACCATGGCTAGGGTGGCACGGCCAGCAAGATTGAGGATCTCGCTCACGCCACGGACGTCGGCCTTGCTCTGCGGACTGACGACATCAAGGGCGCCGGCGTAGGCCGCCATGGCTGCCTCGAGGGCCTCGGCGCCGCCGAGCATCATCGGCGCGTCGCCCTCTTCCGGCAGCTCCAGCGCAGGCTCGGCCTGCACGGGTGGCGCGGCAGCCTTCTTCTTGCCACCCTTCTTCTTCTTGCCACCCTTCTTCTTCTTGCCACCCGACGGCCCGGCAAGCGAGGCGAGCGCCGCCTTGGCGGCACGGGCACACATGCCCGGCAGCTCGGTCGGTGCGTCAAAGGCGTAGACCGCGGCACGAAGAAGATGCAGACCGGCACGCTGGGCCTTGATGATGGCAGTCGAGGTGCGGACAAGGCTTGCTGACTCGGCGTCCTGCGGGAGAACGTCCGGCTCGCCACCGAGAACCAGGCAGTCAAACCGCATGAGCGCAGCCATGTCATGGGTATTGCGGAGACCGGCGTAGTACGGCTCGTCGGTGTTGATGACAAGCTCGGTGAAAAAGTCGCGGAGCGCACTTGTCGAGCTCAGCGCTGTGCCGAGCTGGAGGAGAGCAAGCTCGGTTTCAGCCACCGAGCGCTGGTGCGAAGACGCGAGCTTGTCCTTGAACGCGGCAAACTCGGGCGCGCGCGAAAAGGCCTTGTCGCTAAAGGCGCGGACAATCTGCTCAGGCGTGTCAATCTCGTTCGACTTGTGGAACGAGACGATGGCAAAGAGGCGCTGAGCGGCAGGCTCGTCGAGGCCCATGCGAGCGGCAGCCGGAAAGACCATGTGGCTGAGCGTATCGAGCTGCATGTGCTTCAGCTCGAGCTCGTCGTAGAGATCAAAGACCGGGCCGGCGACGCCGGCGCGGAGCAGCGCCGCAATGAGCTGCGCACGGAGCTCAAAGTTGTCCGGCGAGGCCTCGAGCCCGTTGGCAAGGACAGTAACCGCCAGCGCGGCGTCGTGCTCCTCACCACGCTGCGCAAGGACGTGCGCCACAAGAAGGAGAAAGTCGTCCGACGGCAGCCGCTCGCCACGCTCGCGCTTGACACCAGGCAGCGCGCGCCCGGCGGCGTAGTGGCCTAGCCACACGCCCAGCCGCTGGACGCCGTCGACCAGTCCGAGCCGAAGGCGCAGCGCCTCGAGCGTAAACGTCGCCCGCAAGCCGGCAGCGGACTCGATCGAGGCCTTGCCAGAGGCAGCAAGCGTGTCGACCACTGCCTCGGGCTCGGCCACCATGCCGATGTAGCGCGAGAGGTCTGCGAGGCAGACCGGCTTGGTGGCAAAAGCGTCAAAGTGGCGGAGAATAAGAACAAGGATGCGGGCCGGCACAGGCTCGTCCAGGACACTTGCAAGCTCATCAACCCGCCCGGCGATCAATGCTGCCCGCAGCAGCTCAAGCTCCATCATCGATGGGTTGCGGCGAGTCACGCCCTCGGCCAGGCACGACTCGGCGAGCTGGGCGACAAAAGTGTACGCGTCGGCGAGGTTCGCCGGCGCGCGGCTGCCATAGCGCTCGAGTAGCGCGGCAGCAGGGGAAGCCTCGGGCAGGCTCGCATCGGGAGCAGCAGCCAGGGCCAGGACGGCCTCGACATATCCAACAACGTGGACCCAGTTGTCGACCCGCGAGTCCTCGAGTAGCGCGGCGTACATGCCCGCTGCGAGCGAGACAAAGCCGACTCGGGAAGCAGCAGCAGCCTGCAGCGCCACAATCTCGTCGGTGATCTTGAAAAGGTCTGCCACGTCCGGCCGAGCGAGGAGATCAAGAGCCTCGGCATGGAGGTCGAGGTCAGAGAGGGCATTGGCGGCAAAGAGCGCGGTCTCAACATCATCAAAGGCCAGAGCTGGAAGGAGACGCGGGACAAGCTGAGCGTTGATGGTTGCCGAGGTTGAGGGCGGTGGCAGGCCACGAGACTCTGCCGCACGAGCCGTGGCCACATCGATCCAGCGGGCGACGGTCGAGACGGTTGCGCCCGACTTGAGCCCGAGCTTCTTGAGAGCCATAGCAGTAGTAGCAGCGTCCGAGTAAGCACCGTGGACAATCTGAGCATTGAGCAAGCTCTCAGCCAGCTTGACAGATGAGCGATCAGCAGCAAAGGCATGAGCGTTGAGCGCGACCAGAGTAGCGGTATGGCCGAGGGCCTTGAAGGTATGCCTCAGCAAGTCGAGCAGATGCGGGTCTGTCGGCCCACGGAGCGCCACAGACCGAGCACACACCAAAGCCTCCTCCTGCCGCGAGAGTCTGGTCAGGGCAATAGCTTTCAGTGCCTGTGGGGTGGGGGGGGGGGGGT